CCCCAAAACCCCAAAACCCCAAAACCCCGTGAATAATCATATCATTTAAAAATATGAATATAAATTGTTTTAGATTAATACACTTAATACATTTAAGATATGCTAATAATTTGAATATTCATTGATTCTTTGATAGGTAAACTCAAACTTTTCTAGCAAGAAGTCTAAGTTTTCCACTCTTTGTGCAATCAGTGGCGAGTGATACTGTGGCTGTATCAGGATTCCTCATCTTATAGTACTCTCCATCCACGTTTAAATAGGCATAAAAATCTTTTTTCTATTTCAATATTAATAAAAAAGAGATAACTTACAAGATCTTTAAACTTAAACTAAATAGGTCCTCTATCCTGTGAAATTCTGTATCCACCAGTAAGTACCATTTATAGTATGGTGTTAAAGCTATTAAATTCAAGAACATCATCATCAAAATGCTGATTATTAAACTAAACTAATGGTTTCTTTGGAGCTTTCTGTGTCTGGTATGGATTTTTTAAGCCTATGTGGTTTCTTGATTCATTCCAGACATTTCTTCTACCTCCCATCATACTATTGATATTTGTGCTGATAATGGATATTGGATTTCCTTCTAATCTAAAGTTGTCCTTGTCTTTTTAGTTTGTTGAGAAGACCACACGCCCCCCTTAATTCAATTTTATCCCCTCTGTTGATCTCATTGACTTTTCCTCTTCTAATGAATCTTCTTTTTTATCAATAAGAGACTCTTGATTATCATCGTCAAGTACTTTCATGTAATCTATTTACTCTGCAATAGTTTAATTTCTACAGCATCCAAGAAAATTCTTAAAGCCAGCCCAGCAATATATACAATTGTTGCAGCATCTGTATTTCGTTCTATTTTTTTCAAATGCTACTCCTATCCTCCCATCTTCACCCATTCCAAAGTAATTAATCATATATCTTTTGAAGTCATCATGATCTTAAACATATTTTCTGGATTTAGAGTCAACTATATAAGTTGCCCCCTTTTCTTTGTATTTGATAACCACTTTCCAAAGATTAATTTGCTGTTCTTCAGAGTTTAAGCAAATTTCCTAAATAAGTCTATCTAATTTCTTGTAATATTGACTATCTGGACTGCCTCCCCATTTCAATATTCTTGAAAGATCATTGCCTGTTCCATAAGGCAAAGGACAGCACAGCAGTTTGTCAAAATCAACTTTATTCTTTTTATCTTCCTAAGCTTTCATGACGATTCCTATCAATGAGCCATCACCACCAGCTGTTACCATTATTATTCTTACAGTTGGATCATCTATAAAATTTGAATTTAATTTAATTAACTATTACCTTCTCTTTATAGGCTTGCAATTTAAGCATAGCCTGATTTTGCAGCTTATTCATCAAGAATGTTATGAATTAACAAATGTGCTTACACCCCTTTGCCTAATTCAAATGTATGCTCAAACATTTATTGATTTATAAAAAATCTAGCTTATTAAGAACCACTTTTAGGATTAGCAAACAAAAACACCTAGTACAATTTGATTTCTTCAACTCTTGTTTTTCTGGTAAGATTAGATTAGCTATAAGTAAGAATTTATTGTAAGTCATTTGCTTAAAGAGGTATTTTTGTAAGATTTACCTAGAACTGCCCTAGTTGTAAGTTTCTGTAAGAAATTAACTGTGCTCTTTTAATCTTGATGCATTTGTTGGATGTTCTTCTATAAAAATTTAGTCAACACAATTTAAACTACCTTGATATTCATCAACCATATTGATGCTACTTTTTCCATTAAAATTTGAACGATCGTCACTATAATTTGCAAATGTTAATATGGATTGGGAGGTGTTTTAAGGTAATATTGAGTAATCCTTTGGTTTTTTTGTTGAATATAGTTTACCTTTAGTCATAATTGATGGGAGAACCTATATATGTTAAATTTATAAGTATTTTTATGAATTTAATTGTAATTGAATTACCCATTGCTGGATTAGTTTTGATCTCTTCGAAATCGCTTCGCTTTTCCATAGTCTTAATATTAAAATTAATCAGAAAATAATAAAAAGAATTCATATTGGATTATTCACCTTTATCAATAATTACTTCTCATTTTGGGGTTTTGGGGTTTTGGGGTTTTGGGG